TCATCTGCTACAAGTGACATCATCACAGACACAAATGCCAGGACATAAAACCCCCAATAAAAGAGGACGGGGCAGATATAAAATGCCCATATCAGCTTATAATGTGTTTGTTACATATGTGAAGTCCTCTGAGTGACAACGCTCCTCCTCCATAGATACAGTACAAAGAGTGTTGTCACCCGGGACAGGAAGTGTGTTACTGGAGGATCACCGGGGAAAATAAACGAGAAAAAGGAAAACGAATGCCGCAGGATAGAGTTAGAAACACTTGTCAGAATTATGTACAACACATTGCAGGGGGCAGGAGTATATAATGTATACAGTGCAGGGGTCAGAGGTCATAATGTATACAGTGCGGGGGTGAGGAGCAGGTCATATATAATGTATACAGTGCGGGGGTCAGGAGCAGGTCATATATACAGTGCAGGGTTCAGGAGTATATAATGTATACTATAGGTGCACCAAAATGGAAATTTTGAAAACCGAAACGAAACCGAAATAAAAAAAAATGTCAGGCCGGAACCGAAAATGTTTTTTAATTTTTCAATTTTTTAAAATATTTTATTTTTTATAAACTTTTTTTTAAATATTTATTTGTATTTATTAATTTATTTTTTATAAAATATTTTTATTTTTTACTTTACTTTTAGGGGCTTTGGGGGAAATATTGGGGGTCTAAATAGACCCCTGATATTTCCCTTTTAAAATAGAAAAAGAGATTGAGGACACGGAGCCCTCAGAGACCCACAGAGTCCTCAATCTCTTTTTCTGTGTCCCCTGTTATCAATGTTCCTGATCTTTCATAACATGAGGACGGAGTGTGGTTACTATAACCACAATCATGAATGGACAGGAAGTGATGTAGGAGGGGATGTAGATCACTTCCCATTCATTCATAATTGAGGATATAGTAACCATACCATGTCCTCATTTATGTACACTCAGCGATCACCGAGTGTGTGTACCTTGCTTTTCTCTCTGACACGCTGTCACAGTAGGCTGATGGAGCGGTGTAGAGAGGAGAGCTCAGCCTCCTGTGACAGCGCTGTCTCCAAAGGATTGTATAAAACAGACTACGAGATACAGAAAACTATTTCTTTATTTACAATCCCTTCCTACAAAAACATTCAATCATAATACACACATATCGGCCAGGTCAGCGGATCCGATATATACAGATAATACACAGCCATATACACTTCAAGTATTTCCACACTCCGCCGCCTTGCCTCGTGCCGCAGAGGAATAAACCCGCCCCCATGACGGACAGAGAACAGGGAGTACAGGGAGCGAACTACAGGAACAGCGCCGGTGGGACGCCTCTGTGGGGCTCGGCACACACGATACAATCTCCTTTATGTGTAATCTAAGCACCTTCACTGTCCCATCAATTCGTATTCAGGCCGCCTCCCCCGAACCCCGCCCCCTTCCTTTTTACTGCATGGTTGTTGGAGATTGTAACCTGTGCGGAGGTCTAACTGCATCTGGGACTCAGTGTGGAATAATCGATGGGGCTTGGAATATAACTACATGGCGGGATCCGGAATGTTCCGTCATCCTCACGGTGGCAGAAACGTTTGTCACGTTCTGAAATCGGATACAAAATCCATAAAAAAAGATTTTGTTGCGAAATTTGTAACATTTTAACTTCCCCCAAAAAAATGAATCATTTGTGTCGCTGAAGAGGAAGCGTTAACGTATTGCAGCGCCCCATGAAAGAGAGACCGCCACCGATTGGCTGCCTTTGGTGAACTGCACAGATAGGAGACTTTGCTGTCCCCCGATACCCGGCTACCCAAGCTATTCACAGCATAGCAGCAAATCATCTTTCCACATAAAGCCGGCATGTTACGGAACAAAAGGGAAATATTTACAGACAATGTTTCTTATTCCAGCGAATGAATATGGATGAAATAGAACGCTCTCTATGGGGCCCCTGAGATGAGCCAATGTGGGTGTCGGAGGTTCAGGGCAGCACATGGGATCTATAGCTTGACTCCTGAGGACGTAGAATGCTCTACACTGTACGGGCCCCTCGGCCACAGGACGAGTCCCACAAAGGGCCCAAGTTGGATCTCTGCCCTTTAATCGCAAAGAACAAATCATTATTTTTAGGCCTCAGATATAGGAACTCAACCCAGAATGTCTCACCATTGTGGGAGGGCCAGAGACACAAACTACTGGGGGAAATCTCACCATTGTGGGAGGGGCAGAGACACAAACTACTGGGGGAAATCTCACCATTGTGGGAGGGGCAGAGACACAAACTACTGGGGGGAAATCTCAGCATTGTGGGAGGGGCGGAGACACAAACTACTGGGGGAAATCTCACCATTGTGGGAGGGGCAGAGACACAAACTACTGGGGGAAATCTCACTATTGTGGGAGGGGCAGAGACACAAACTACTGGGGGGAAATCTCACCATTGTGGGAGGGGCAGAGACACAAACTACTGGGAGGAAATCTCACCATTGTGGGAGGGGCAGAGACAAACTACTGGGAGGAAATATCACCATTGTGGGAGGGGCACAGACACAACCTACTGGGGGAATCTCACCATTGTGGGAGGGTCAGAGACACAAACTACTGGGGGGAAATCTCAGCATTGTGGGAGGGGCAGAGACACAAACTACTGGGGGAGATCTCACCATTGTGGGAGGGGCAGAGACACAAACTACGGGGGGAAATCTCACCATTGTGGGAGGGGCAGAGACAGAAACTACGGGGGGAAATCTCACCATTGTGGGAGGGGCAGAGACACAACCTACTGGGGGAATCTCACCATTGTGGGAGGGGCAGAGACACAACCTACTGGGGGAATCTCACCATTGTGGGAGGGGCAGAGACACAAACTACTGGGGGGAAATCTCACCATTGTGGGAGGGGCAGAGACACAAACTACTGGAGGAAATCTCACCATTGTGGGAGGGGCAGAGACACAAACTACTGGGGGACAACCCTGGGGTCCCTATGAGTGATAGAAGTCAGTGGGGTGATTTAACCAATCAGAAGACATCAGAAGGGATTCACATATCCTCTAGCACACAATGAATATGTTGGGTACCTGCTGCTCCGCACAGCTTCACATTAAGAAATACACATGGGAAAGGAAATTGTCCTTTTATTGGTCATTGATATGAGCCGGCTCTGATCCGGTCCTCCTGTTGCCTGCAGTTCATCCTCTGTACCTGTGCAACTCCTATAAACAAACTCGCATGGTCTGTTCTTCTCTTTTGGTCCTATTGATTGCGTCTTCACACTGTGCAAATGGCACATTCCTGGGGGGGGGGGGGGGGG